AATTTTTATTGAAATATTATGCTTTATCTTGCTGCAGATGAGTAAAGAAAAAAAAATAAATAAACAAAAATACAAAACAAATACAATTTCCGCTAAACAAACCGAAGGAGAAAAAATGAAAAAAATCTGTTTGAATTAAGCAAGGCTAAAAATTCATTAAAATTAAGAGCCCTTTTTTACGAGTCCCTTTTACTACATTCTTCTCTTCGCAACGCAGAAACTGTGCGTTAATAAAAGCTAAAATATAAAATTGTTTTTGCATTTTTATTACGTTAAATCCCAGTGTAAATGTAACACATGTTTATAACTTTTCTAAGGGTATATACAAGGCTAGGCGGTGCTATGGAAATATATACATTAGGATAGTTCAATTTATAGCTGTTGAAGTTATTACTTAAAATAAAAGTTTAATTTATCCTAAAATTCCTAGCACTTTTCTTCCATGTGAACAGGATGTCACCCTAATATACATACATAACAACAAATAGTGTAAATGTCTTTCTACATACCTTTTTTACACAGTTTTATTTTGCTTCTTTTCATTTCAATTGCATTGAAATTTCAAACAAATAAACAAGTACACTTATACAACATGAAAAGAGAAGGAGCAAGAGAGAGAAAGAAAGCTTACAAAAAAGAGAATTTTAATGTTTTTAATTAGTTTAAAAGGTTTGGGGTTTTGTGAACAAACTGTTAATGGTTTTATATTCACAAACAACAGCAACAAAAACAAAACGTATACAATGGGTACTATAATGCCAATTTTATGAATTAATGTATGAATGAAAGCATACTGCAATGAATGAATGAATAAATAAATAAATGACTGTTAGTGACATCAACAAGTTTTAAGTTTGATTTTATGTTTTTTTAATATTTAACTGTAATAGAAATTGAATTAAATTAGCAAATGAAAGGTATTTATTTGTAAAGCGTTTTAAATGTTTGATTTCTATAAAGAGGGTTTAACATAACGTATACGTAATTTTTAATTAGTCTTTAGAAATCAATAACACTTATACGTTCGGTGGGTAGGTGACCCAAATGTTTAGGTTTTATACACTGGTTGGTTTGTGTTTGAAGTTAGATTTCAGTTTTAGCTTTGCTGTTGTGTATGTGTCAGGGATGTTTAGTACTTTTTAACATTTAGCAATATTCATTCAACATTAATAGGTTACGCTATAGGCTAGTGCTTTAATTAATCTATGGACTAGATCAAGGGCTAGACTATCAAATTGTCTATTAACTTGTGGACTATTAACTATGGACTATTCTATTGGTTTATCTACAGATAATTCAATGGACTAGTATTAGGAATAATCTATTGACTAGTGTAAGAACTAATCTATGGAATAGTCTGTGGACTAGTTTATTGAATAATCTACATACTAGTCTGTTGATTATTTCATTGAGTAGTATATTGACTATATGGACTAGTATTAGGAATAACCTATTGACTAGTCTAAGAACTAATCTATGGAATAGTCTGTGGACTAGTTTATTGAATAATCTATATACTAGTCTGTTGATTATTTCATTGAGTAGTATATTGACTAGTGCTTTGGGTAGTGAATTAACCTATATGATTATTCCATTTACTACGCTGAGTAGTCTATTGACTGGGCAATTGAGTAGTCCATTGACTGGTCCATTTACTAGTTCATTTAATAGTCTATTGAGAAGTCTTTTGACTAGTCCATTGATTAGTATATTTACTAGTCCATGAGGAAGGCTATTTACTAGTCTTTGGACATATCCAGTGTCCTATTGAGTAGTGTATTAATCTATATGAATATTACTTTTAATACGACATTGAGTAGTCTATTGACTGGGCCATTGATTAGTCTATTGACTAGTCCATTGACTAGCATCTTTACCTATCCATTAACTAAGCCATGGGGTAGTCTATTTACTAGTATATGGACTCATCCAGTAACTGTTCTATTCACTAGTAGTAGACAAGTCTATAGGCTTATCTATCTATTGATAGTCTATTGATTAGTATATGGAGTTATCTATTTACTAATATGTCGACTAGACTAGTCCATTGACTAATCTCTTGATTAGTCCATTAAATAATCAATGGCGTTGTCTAGTTTTAAGTCTATGGACTCATCCAGTGACTAATATAGGACAAGTGCATTCACTGATCTGTGGACTAGTCCATGCACTAGTCTTTGGACAAGACTATTGGCTTATCCATTGATAAGTCTACTGATTAGCGTATGAACTTATCACTGACTACCGACTAGACTACAGGAGGACTAAGTAGTCATAGACTTTGCAATATAGACAAGCCTCTTGTCTGATCTTTGGAAAAGTCTATTGACTGGATTTTATTGATATTTCTATGGACTTAAAATCTAGTCTACCGCCAAATCTGTTGACTAGTCTATGGACAAGTCTGTAGACTGGTATTTGAATAATTTTTCTATGGAGTTTAACGGTTTATGCTGCACTGTTTCTTTCTACAATTTATGATACTAGAAGTTAGTTTATTAAATTATTTTCTATAAATCAAATGGCGTTATTTTATAACAAAAAAAAAAGTTAAATTGAAATAAAATATTTATTAAATTTTTTCTTTATACAAAAGTCTGAGAAATACAATATTTGTATAATTTTAATTTTAAGACCATAATGCTTACTTAATTTTGTCTGGTACTGGAATAAAACTTAACAAACTTTGTTACTTTTCATTTCGATTAAATTAATTTATAATGTTTTATTTATCTTTTTTAATTCAAAAAGCAAGATTAAAAACAAAAAAAATCAACAATCTTTTACTTTTAATTTTAATATCTTTCATGAATATTTAAAATATTAACAATAAAAACTGAAAAAAACCAAAGAAAAAATATGCCTCAAAGAAAAATGCTCATAAATTAACTTTGGTGAACCCTCATTAGCTGTTAATCTTTATACGGCCAGAAACCTTACAATTGCTGGTTTATTTCTCTTAAAAAGGAAGAAGCTTTACAGCCAACACCAACAATTTTATTTATGCTGGCAAACCAAAGTATTTAAGGCTACTTTCTTGGGCAGATGTGGCCTTTATTTTATTTTTTGTGTGTTTCGAATTTTTTTTTTCATTATTTCAATCTTATGAAGTGCTAATAAAGTTGTAAATTAAACAAATTTACCCCGGCTCTAATAAAGATGTTTTTTTCTATTTTAAAGCAAAAAAACCAAATCATTATAATGCCATAAGTACTGGTACTTTGAGAAAAAAAGGCCAAATAAATAAAATATAAAAAATGCCTCAAAACCAACAGAAACTGAAACAAAAAGCTTTACAGTCTAATCCTCAACATTATTTAAAATATTTTTTTTTACAGTTTCTCTTACTGCATTTTGTGTTTTTTTCACTTTGCTTATTTAGCTGTTATGATATTTTATATAAAAAAATCTTTAATACTAAATAAATTGTTAAATGTTGGTCATTATAAGCTAGAAAAAAATATATATACTAAACCCTCAATGAAATTTAATGGGCTTGTCGCATGGCTTTAAATTACCAAAAAAAAAATTTAAAAAAATATATAAATTTGTTTTAAGAAGCTTATGAAAATTCAATGAAATAGAAACAACTGCATTTGAATATTTAAAGGTTTAATGAATATATTTCAAACAAATGAGGCCGGAGATCCCAGCTAGGTTCTATTATAGTGCGTTCTATAGAGGATGATAGAAAATATAGGACAAACAAGAATGAAATACAGACAGACAAAAGGACAGGCAGGATAGACAGACAGACAGCCAACACCAGACAAGACACACAGGGCAGTCAACACTAGACAAGACAGCCAATACTAGACAGGACAGACAGGACAGACAGGACAGACAGGACAGACAGGACAGACAGGACAGACAGGGCAGACAGGACAGACAGGACAGACAGGACAGACAGACAGAATATAAAAGAATGACAGAATCAGATAGATAAATATAGGGAACAGGCAGATATACATATACACTTACATATATACTTGAGTATGTATTGACATATATAAAGACTTGGTGAGAAATTTTCGAAAAGGTACAGAAAGAAGGACAAATATGAAAGACAGACAAAATGCTGATCAGACAAACAGGACACACAGGCAGAATAGAGGGGATAGCAAGGAGAAACTATTAAGGCAGGATAGAGAGAATGGGGCAAGATGGACAGACGGGCCAATATTCAAAGCAGACAGTAAGACAGACGATATTTCACATACACACATACAGATAGACATGAGTTTAGACATACAGTCACATATAAAGACAGATGGACGAATGCATGGTGAGCAATTTTCAAAAAGGAAGATAATCAGGAGAGGATGGTCAGACAAATATGCAAACAGGAAATTCAGGACAGACGTATTACTATATATACAGGCCGGATGAATAGTAAGACAGACGGATAAATAGGGAGAGGAGAGACAGTCATATACATACATATATAGATAGACGGATGGTAAGGTATGTAGGCGGACTTGAATTTTAAATAGTTTAAAATATTTCATTTGAGTCTTTATAAGAATATCGTTTACTCCTAAAAATGTCTTTACATTTTGTGTAGTCTTTCTTATTGCCTAACTTAATCGACTCTAATCGTTCTCTTCATTTTTAATTGATTATATAGGACAAGTTTTTCAACATTAAAAATGCCAATACATTAATCCTTTTCACCATAAAACTTTCAACAAATGGCCTCTCATAAAACGGTGTAATTTTACTAGAAAAGTAATAATTTTAATTACACAACAATAACACGTGTACATTAAAATTTTATTGAATTTTCAAAATACAACTCATTAAAAATGCTAATCAGCAGTGATGGCTATAAGACACAAACAACTTATTACTCATGTTTTCAACTTGCTTTTGATTTATGGCAAACATTTTTATTAACGTATTCACCTCTGAACCATAAAACAATTAATTCTCAACCAAATATCAGCACACTAGTGACAAACAATTCATTCTAATTTCTGATTTTCTATCCTGTTTTTCAGTTTTAGCTCTTATCTTTGTTCTGTACAATCGTAAACGTAAAACAACAAATAAAAAACGTAATGGCCCAGAAAAAGATGTACGTGAAACAGTGATTAGTTACGATGACGAAGGTGGTGGTGAGGATGATATGACAGCATTTGATATAACACCCCTACAGATACCCATAGGACAGGGTGGTAATATGCCACCTGATATAGCTGCCTGTAAAGTGCCAATAATATGTAAGTATTTCTTTCTACCTTAACAATTACACTTCTCTAACTTTAAATATTGATTATAAGTGAAGCTTTTTTTATTTTCCAAAATTGACAACAGGAACACATAAAATAACAAGAACACGTAAAATATTAAAAGTTGGGGATTTAGATTTGTGTTTAGGATATATTTTTTGTTGTTTGCTGATGTCATAAAGTTGTAAACATTGTTATAATATTATTTACAACATTGTGTTTACTTTAATCAAATACTAGTATGTATGTTTGTTAGCATAAGTATCCCTTTTTTTCTTGTTTAATAATCTTTATAGATCCTGTTGTTACCTTAATGCCTGGCCAAGAATTAAATGTGGGTTTTTTAATGGAGGAACGTAAAAAACGCTGCGATAAAGATATAAACGCACCACCCTTTGATGATTTAAGAAATTTCACCTACGAAGGCAGTGGGAGTATAGCTGAATCATTAAGTTCATTGGCATCAGGTAGGTTAGCCAATACTTTGTAATACTCTTCTTTACTATAAAAGAAAGCAAATAATTATGATAATAAAATAGAAATCATTAAATCAAATCAATAAAATTAAAATGATCCAAGTCACAAAATCAAACTAATTTGTAAAAGCTGTGGGTCATAAAGTAATGAAATAAATAACTAAGTTAAGTAATTCCGAATGGACGTACAGACGGATATATAAATAGAGCATAAAATTGCTGTATATCAATTAATTTTATAGTATTTTAACTTTAAGTTAAGTAAACTTCTTATAACTATATATTGTTTCCTGTAATTCTTATGAGGATGATAAGACTGCAGCAAAACTGTTCCAATCATTTCTCTCGTTTGCTCTACACTTTTAAAACAGAAATATATTCGAAAATTTGTTTAGAATTTAAGAAAGGGACACACTTATCCCGAAAAGCATTGCTCCTAAATTTGATGTATGTTGCATTATGACACTGGACATTATGACACACCACCCTCTTTCACTTCAACTATGACCTAAAGATCTAATTTCATAGTTGAGCTATCTTATGGGCATGTTTATCAAAACGTCTGGGGGTTCTAATCTATAGTCATAGTGGTAATATCATCGGGGGTTTTCTGAGCTTTGTTGTCTGTATTTCTTATTTTTTTTTGGGCCAAATATACACCGGAGTTTACGCAGACAACTGTTCACAAAAACCTGAATTCAATTGCTGTTCTTCTGTGCAGCATTCCATGATTCTTTACCATAAAGTAATATGGAGTAGAGGCTGAAAATTCGAAGCTTTATATTAGTATACAGTTGGAAGGATTGCATGACAAATGCATGTCTTGCAGTTTATGTCCTGGGATAAACCTCCGATTGTCGTAATCCTGCTCAAAGGAGGTTATATCTACTTTCGGTTGTTGTTTAAAAAGTAATATTTCTGTAGTGTATGCATTGATTCGCGTTATTTTGGTTCTCAGTTCCACTCCAATCTTATCCTGCATATCATAGTGTCTGTGTGTAAGGAGACAAACATCATCCTCGTAGTCGAAATCCTCCAAAACGCTCCTGTAAGCCCCAGCTTTTGCCTCTATTGACGTTTGTGGTATTCAACATAATGGAGTCGAGGACAGTGTTAAATAGAAGAGACGATAATACACAACAATGTTTTAACATGACAATTCCCAGCCACATGTTTCAATGTAACCTGTAAAGAACTATATAGAAAGAAGTAATTGGAAGCTTTAATCGCCAGCCCTATGATCCATACTTTGCCCCGTCTATCAATTATTTGTTTTTTTTTTTTTTTTTTTCTTTTTTTTTTGATGCAGGACACCCTTTCTGGAACACGCTTCCCTTGACTTCATTCCCTTCTTGATCTCAAAACGTGGGCAATTCTTTTGGCGTTAAATACATATGTATGTTGCCAGAAAGACAGACAATGGTTATAGCTTACAATAAACATAACAAATTAGAAAACTTTTGATGTATTCTTTCAATGCTATTTGAGCCTATAAAGAATGAAATAATTCATAACTGCAATGAAAATTGTAATAAATAGTATGAATCGAATATGACTTTTTCCGTGACTTTTCCAAGCTAAAGCAGTCCGCAATTTTTAATATAGAAATAATTAAAATACTTTAAATATTAGATTAAAGAAGTATTATGACGTTAAGGCCAATTTAGTTTTTAATAAAAATCATTTGTAAATTTCCATAATAAGGGTTAATTAAGTAGCTCCTTTAAAAAATCATAATTGCTAAATAACAACAACTTTAAAAGAAAATCATAATTACTTTTTATGTTTTCTTAACAAAATAATTATTTTACTAAATTTCTTTTTATTTAACATTCTATCTCTTCCATATCTCTAGGCACTGATGATGAGAATCAAGACTTTAATTTTTTGGAAACGTGGGGTCCACGTTTTAATGCCTTGGCAGCTTTATATCTACAAGACAAAACGAAAACAAAAACAGCAACTACAACAACAACAGCGGCAGTAGTAACAACAGCAACAGCTGATGTTGTAACTAATGAAAATGGTGTATTATAAAATTAGATTTTAAATTAAATTTATACTAAAATAATTGTAAATTAACTCAAAACTTAAACTTAACTGGCGAAAGAAAAACAAACAGAAATTCAATTGCCTCCAACTAGGCAAAAAAAAAAAACAAAAACTAATATTAAAGCCAACAAAATGTGTATAAAATCAAAATGAACAGATAAAAATAAGAACATAACAAAAAAGGAATTACAATTAAAATCTTTTTTACATTTAGTTAGTAAGTAGAAAATAGATACAATAATAGAAACAGATATTGAAACAGCCTTTTTTTTGCAACAACCAAAAAAAAATAACTCAACAGCAACAAAAACTAAAACATAAATAAGCCTCAAGCTGCAACAAACAACAGAAAAAAAACCATACCAATACACATACACACTAAAGAAATGAAAAAATAAAGAATAAGGGGAAAAAGGCATTTGGACTGATAGAATGAACTGCATACAAAAGCTTCTGTAATTATGGCCTACACAGTGAGTACAGTTACAAATCTACAGCCTGCTGTATATTTGCTTATACAAAAAAAAAAACTTACAACCAAAAAAAAAAAGATGAAGTGAAAAAGCAGAAATTACGTTTTCAGTTGAAATATAATGAAAAAGAGAACTTGTTCAGCACATCAGACATCCAGCCAGATGGACGGACAACATGTGGATACAACAACAATAGAAACAGACAACAGAAAAGCAAAAATCAGACAAGACTTGCTTGCTTGCCTTCATGCCATGGTTTTTGTTGTTTGCAATATTCCTTTTTAAGGGAAATTACAACTGAAAATTACTACTACCTTATTGCAAAGAGTAATTTAAAAGAATGAAATCTTTGAAGTGCAAAATATTAAAAAAACGTTGATGAGTTATTTTCTTTGTTAACAGATCATTTACTCTGCATCATTTACAAAATGGATGAGGGTAAGAACACGGAGAGTTTTCCGTTTTTTTCTCACTCATTCCCAACTTTTAGTTCATCAGCTACATCTCAGCGGGTTTCTATTGCCTTTACGGCAACAGCAACTTCTTCAGTCTTTAAATCAACATTTACATCCCGTGATATACATATTTTGAACTAGAACCACCGTGGATTACAAATATATTCAGGGTCCTTGTTAGTCTCAAAGACGATCTTCACATGTCCTTCCATCCGTTAAGGTTGCAACACATCGAAAGTATTTATGTTAATTCGTCTCTCTGTCTATCTCACCATCTGTCTATCCGACTATAATAAGAGCTATAAGTTCCAAACGAAAGGAGCTGTAGTACGTTCCATCTTTCTGTCCGTACGAGATACCCCCCTCCCCCCTGGGCATGTTTCCTTGATGAAATGTCCATCTTGGTGTATTGCAATCCCGGGGTAAAGAGATGCTACCAGTATCTCTAGTATCTCAGCCGGGACTATAAACTGGTGATGTCAAATGTATCCTCGGCTTCGCCTTGGAATAATTTGGCATGGGGTCTAACCAGAGCACCATATAATCTGACACTACGGCCGGACCACCGTAAAATAAGGCCGTCAAGGCAGGTGTTCACGTTAAGGACTTGACATTCTTGTCCAGAAGCAGAATAAGCTGAAATGCTGTCTGTATCGACATCGAAAGTTTATATGTTCAGGGTATAGTCATATCCGTCAATTCGTCCGTCTGTCTGTCCATTTCACCATCTGTCTGTCCGACTGTAGTAAGAACGATACGTTCCAAACGGAAGGAGCTGTAGTACGTTTCATTTGTGTGTCCATCCAAAAAAAGGATCTGAAATGCTGTTTGTAAGACATCGAAATCGAAAGTGCATATGTTTAGTTTTTCTTGTTAAATTTAAAGACGATTTAGGGATTTGTCTTTCTATTTGTCTGAACTTCAGTAGCAAACACGATACGAAATCGCAAGAAGCTACAGTGCTGAAAATCAAAAAAAAAAAAAAAGCATCTATAAATTTACAACATATTCTCTGATCATAAGTATAAATGATTTCCTTCCTTTAATCATCACCATTCAAGCAACAAAGCAAAAATAATTTAAAAAATACAAAAAAAAAAATCAAGCAAGCCAAATAACATCAGCATCCAAGTTGTTGATGAACGCGTAAATTGTGTTGGCAGTAACAACTATAAATAAATGCAGCATACTCAACATCTTTTTCTTCATCAGCACAATAACCCACTCGCCTCCGACCTACATTTTCTAACAAACAACCCCCTTACTTAAACAATAACACAATCAACCTTCTCCTCCCCTTAAAAAAAAAAAGGCTGAAATTTTCAAAAAATAAAACGCCCTCTCTCCCCACATAAAACAACCAGACAAAAAGATATCCCCAAAAACTTTTATATATTCTAGTTATAAGTCTGTATTGTATTTTGTATATAATTTGTAAATAGTAGTAAATTAAGTAAAAAATTTTTATTATAGTTATTATTACTATCATTTAATAGTTTTATGGTTAGTAAATATTTATATTATAATACAAAAAAATAAATTAATATTTAAACAATTTAAAAATAAAACGACAAAATTATAATAAACCAAAAACATCTTGCATTTATTACAACTTATTTAAAGTGTGTTGTACTTACTATCCATAGTATGTATTAAATATGAAAAACAACAACAACTATAACAACAAACAAATAATATTATAAATATTATAATAACAGTTATAATTATAATAAACCCCATAACTATAGACATTTATAATTATAAAAAAAAAACAAAATCGATATAAAATTAGTTTAAATTAATAGTTAAAAAAATTTTCTTTTTCGTTAATGTTAAATTTTAAGTGTAACAAATCATAATGAATTCTTTTTTTATTTTAAACTGTTTAAAACATGAAAAAAAAGAAGTAAAAAATTAAATTTAAACAATATGCTAAACTTATGAACAAATAAATATAATTTTAAATTATTAAAAAAAATATACATCAAATGCATTTTAAATTGTTAGTTAGTCCAAATGTTTGAAATGGTAAGTTTTATTTATAAATGAACAAAAACAATAAAAGAGCTTATTTATCATATTCAGAAAAAAAAATTCCGTAGAAAGAAAATACTTATAAAAGAATACATTTCCGTACGTATACGTATTATTTGATTATATCTTTAATAATCATACGCTCTAGTGCTTATTACTATTTCGTATTTGTTTATTATGGTCATTAAAGTCAAATTTTATTATGCCCCGAGAGAGAGGGAAATATATAAGTTTGTCATTCCGTTTTTAATTTAAACAAAGTAATATGTGTATACATAAATATATAAAAAATGTTATGTTGATGCCGATATATTCGAGGGAGTTATTAAGGATAAATTCGTTTGTCAGTATATGTACCTTTGTTTAGGGGCTACTGGAAAAGTAAGATCGATTGTTATGATTTTGAACACAATTGATCCTTGTGTGTGACAAAATTCATCAAATTATCTTTGGTAGTTTCTGAGAAAAATACCTAAGAATTAGGAAAAACCTTAATTTTTTTCGAGGTAATCTGAAATTTGTACTCATAACTTTTTACGTTGTAAATCTATTTTTCTGATTTTCTATGCCAAATTGCTTAGTTTTAACGCGTATTTTACACAGACAGACAGACGGACGGATATAGCAAATTAGACTCAGAATTTCATATACCGTCTAGTGGTGGAGGGTATAACAATACTAGAAAAAGTTTACTAAACTTATTCTTTTTATCTTTAAATTCACGACCTACATTTGGTTGGTTATCGTGGCCTTATTTCACGATGGTTATTTTCATCCACTGGGTAGACTAGAGACGGTCTACCACACGCCCCTGAATCTTTCTATGAAGAACTCAGGTGGCAATTTTTGTACATGGCTGAGCCGGTCCATGTACAAGCACTTTGCTGCAGAACTCGAGCTATCTAATATCTTGCCATAGAAGCCCCGTTGCGGAATAACAGGCAGCTTGGGATCAATCCCAATGCAAACCGCGACAAGGAAAAAGCAATCACTGATCTAAAGTCAATAGAAAATCAGGTGAGATCAATCTTCCGGTATACCGGAAGGTGACCACTCTTATGATGTCGTGAAAGATTGCATTATTTAGAATGCAATCCCCATCAACTAATGACCCATTCCAGTACATTCCTTAGTCCGCGCAACCACATTACTGAGATGATTGATTCGGCAACAGCACCTAGAGGCGTATTTGGTAGCCCGAAATGTCAAGCCAATAAATCAGGATCCCTCTGTATGTCAGGTAATGTGACAAAAGATGTAGAAATTTCCAAAGCCAATTCGAACCCAATAATTGTCCCGACGAGTTTAGGGAACGGACCTCAACCATATGTCGCCTAGCAAAAAACAACATGAATCCTGCTGAGATGGCAACAGCACAGAGAACTTCCCTGAAGTAAAAGGTCTACTAAATCAGTACTAGTCTCCTGTCGGGCAGAGGAGTCTTTTCCGATCGTTCACCAATTACATCAGTTCCATTCTCAGACCATAAAGAACGATCTACGGAATGACAGGCAACTACCAAGTGTCGCCTACTACGCGAAGAGTAAGAGATACTCAACGGGTTCAGGAATCCAGCATAATTTGCTCTGTCTCATCACCCAGAGACACATGTTGAGATGGCAACAGCACCAGAGAGGGAATCCAGACATATCTGGCATTTGGCATGACACAATATAAATCCTGTTGAGATAGCAACAGCATCGAGAACTTTCCTGAAGTAAAAGGTCTACTAAATCAGTACTAGTCTCCTGTCGGGCAGAGGAGTCTTTCCCGATCGTTCACCAATTACATCAGTTCCATTCTCAGGCCATAAAGAACGATCTACGGAATGACAGGCAACTACCAAGTGTCAACCTGAAAATTCCTTAACATATACTGGCGCCTACTACGCGAAGAGTAAGAGATACTCAACGGGTTTAGGAATCCAGCATAATTTGTTCTGTCTCATAACCCAGAGACACATGTTGAGATGGCAACAGCACAAGAGAGAGAATCTAGACATATCTGGCATTTGGATATATCAGTCCTTAAACCAACATTCTCTCGAATTTGGGTATAAACCACAGACACTACGTGGATCCCGAAGAAACCTCAACCAATTGACCGGTCAGGACTAGGTCCTGCGGGCAAAAAGCTGCCCATAGTGCCGGATTATATGGTACTCTGGTTAGACCCCATGTCAAATCATTCCAAGGAAATGCCGAGGATACATTTGATGATCACTAGTTTATAGTCCCGGCAGACTAGAGGTATTGGTAGCACCTCTATACCCTCTATATAAAGTAGTAGACAAGAAAAGGGCATTCACTAAGCAGACCGTTTCTTACTTTATCTATTATCTATTTTTGCAAATGCGACATTAAAATATGTATTAAAGCAAGTGAAAATTTACAATCGAGGTTTTCCGACCATATGATAACCTAAAACAAAGTTTATCAAAAGGTCTAAAATGGCACTTAATCAACAGGATTTTTTTAGATATTTATATTTGTATATAAATCTGTTTTTCAAACTTATTCGTTTTATCATAAACATCGCAACCTATGTTTGGTTGGTTATAGTGTAAGTTTACAGAGCTCAAACAGTTATGTAGAGTCGAAAGCAGTCTCACCAAGTTTGGATATAAAGTAATAGACAAGAGAAGGGCATTCACTAACAAACTGTTTCTTTCTTTATCTCTACCTTTGCGACTGTATTCATTGAAGGGAGCTGCTTAGCATCAAGTGTCTGGTTATTACTGCCAGCAACCTCGATACACCCCGCATATTTCGGGTTATAAGTCGACTAGTGCGCTTTTCATTGAAAGAATGCCACATTAATTTGGCCCCTCTACATGTGTCTAGGTTATTCCATCCATTTTCAACCTTTTGAAGAAAAGTATACTACTTTTGAAAAATCTATTGGAGTTGGAGATATGCAGAGGTGCTCCCATTCATTTCCTATGCACAATGATCCAAATTAATGTCATGCCGTCAATCCAGCCATATATATCGCGATCTATACTCATTCCGGAAGTTTTCATAAACTTAACCCTTTGGCCTACTTGGGACCAAACACAGAATTTTCTTAAAAAGTTTGTATGTATAACCTTATTTTTATACCCTCCACCACCATCAGTGGTGATAGAGGGTATATATAACTTCGTCATTCCGTGTGTAACACCAAGAAATTTTCATCTGAGACCCAACAAAGTATATATATTCTGGGTCCTTATGAAATTCTGAGTCGATGTCCGTCCGTCCGTCCTTCTGTCTGTCTGTCTGTCTGTGTAAAACACGCTCACGTTAAAACGAAGCAATATAATTTAACTAATTCACCCAAAATATTTATCATTATCCGGTACAGTTTGGTATTGAAAATGAGCAAAATCGGTTCACATCGGGAAAAGTTATGAATCAAAATTTAAAACAACTCCGAAAAAATAAGCATTTTTTACACATTCTGATGTAATTTTCTCGAAAACTATGCAAGATAATTTCATGAAAGTCATCACACATTCGTTTCTACACAAGATATTTATTCCTGCTGAAAATTGCCAGAATCGGTCCACAATTTCATATACCTCCCATACAAAAGTACATATTCCCGAAAAATGAGTTATTTGTTAATAACTTCCGTCAGAATGTTGACATCTTCACAAAATTTTACAAATTAAAATCTTATGTTAATAGAATTCATTAAGAGAAAAACATTTTCTGGATCGGTCCATAATTAGACATAGCTCCCATACAAGGTCCCCTCCCGAAAATCACTTAAACGCGCATAACTCATTACTAAA